TATGATATTTCCATATAAATAATTATATTTTAGCTCATTTGTGGCACAGTGCAGCGGCAGGCCAGATCCGGCCAGCGGGCCATAGTTTGGTGACCCCAGCTTTAGGCTATGCTAGCCCCATCTTTAAAGAGGACTTAGAAGAAAGTGAAATAACATATAAATAAGAATTAAGAACAAAAATTAATTCAACTGAAGATAAGATAGAAAACGTTACTGATTATGTGAAGAATAATTATAATAGAAAAACTGATGAAGTACAAAAAAATACATCTATAATGTGCAGATATACTGTAATGTCAAACTTGAAGAAGTACAAAAAGATATCAGCAAAAAAGAAAAGAACACTAATGAAAGAATAAAACATCAGGAAAATAAGTTTGTAAGTGCGGGGACCAAAACAGCTGTATCAATCTACAAATCTACTTGAGAATTTGAACTCCAAAACCTATTAGATATTAAAATATGGAAAGGAATAACCCACATGGTCTACACTGATCACTTTTACTGCCATGCCACTGATGACTTCTGGACTTTACTGGACTACACTAGCTATATCACTACCTCATAATGTTCTAGAATATAGTAGGCTGGTTCAACAACGTCGCCCAATCGAAAAACCAACAAACTATGGCGGAAAGCTGCAATGAACGTTATATAAGGCTCAGTTTGAAATAATTTCCAAAGTGACTGTATGGGATAGTGAGCAAGTTATCTGGCTTGCTTTCCATTTAAAAGGACCAGTCTTAACGACAGTCAGCAGTCTTTCAGCTAAGACCTATAAGAATAATTAGTCATTAACAATTGTCTTATTAAATAGCTTTGGAGTTTAAGAGCAGAGCAAATAGGAAAGACAGTATATGTACGCCTTTAAATGAAACTCCTCATTTGATGATAAAGCTTGAATTAATTAAAGTCGCGGATAAATAGTTAAAGTACCCTTCAGAAGTTACTGAGATCATCGGGTCAAATAGTATAGAAACACCATTTCTCTCTGAAGATGTAGAAGTAAATCACATGACAAAAAATGTTGAAACTGTAACTTAAAATTACATATTCCTAGACTACTCCCAAATGATGATAGAAGAAGAAAACTGCAATAAGTATGGAAATAATGTGCATTATATCGGAGACTGTGGTGAATCATTTACTGTCATAAAATCAATGAGACAGTATCGCTAGGATAAGAATACTCCACTACCTTAGTAGAAAGAAGAGGTGTAATGTTTGAAGAAACCAGTCCTCGAGTCAACGGATCTATTGATGAAAAGCCTTTCAGTATGTTGGTTCTAACGCTACAATTGTGTGATCCGACTGGTAATCAATCATCAAAGATGGAGAAAAAGATAGATTGATGCAAACAGTAAGTGGACATAAAGTTTCAGCAAGAGGAATGTTGAAGTCCTAACTGTTAGAAGCTTCCTACACGATATGTAGGTAATTGACATCGAGGAAGAGTGCATATTGGGAACTAGCTTGATGTGGAGACATGGATGCGAAGTTAGACTGGCTTCAAATAGTTTCACAATGTATGTCCATAGATTGAACTTCCAACGATAAAAACGGATAAACACATTAATGAAACCTATTAACCCGGAGTGCTGCTATTCAGCAGAATCCAGAAGAATAAGTGATCCAAACTAAGAGACATCAATCGTGCTTGTCTTTGGAAGCTCGTCAATGGAAGAACAACCAATTTCATAACTCGATGAACATTTCAAATGAAATAAATCAACCTATTGGAGAGCCCGAGATTCTTTTTGATATCACTTCTAGAACATTACCAGGAATGAAGCAGCTATTGGATTCTCTCGACCATTCATCAGAAGAAAGTTTTCACTGTGTAAAGATGGCAAGAAAAGATACGGGAAATAAGGCCACCCCATTTTTTACAATAAACCTCAGAAAAGAAACCCATCAAGAAGAAAAATGTTGATTAGATAGTTTAGACAGTAAATATGATAAAGATGAATATTTTGATTTGTTAGTCACTATATTGATTGTACTTTGTTTAACGAATTTAATTATTAATATAGTAACTCTAATAACTATTTATGAGTAGTTATTTTTATTAATTGTAAATAATGACTTTGTTACAAATTATTTCAGTTTAAGTTTAAAATATTATTGGTCTACTTATGCATTACTATTAATCAAGAGACTTCACAATCTAGTGAGGGGCATAATTGCAGGTTATTTTAATGTTTGCTAGAAGGAGTTTTTGGCATAATGTAATGTTGATGTATATTTCTAAGATTTTCTTGAATGTCTAGATCCGACGCGACGCCTCGAAGTTTTTGGACGTTTGGAGAAGACAGTTTTGTGATGTATAAAATCACGATTGAGTTAATCAGATAGCTAACTAGCTAGTTAGAGAGTAAGCCAATGAGCCAGTCAAACAGTCAGAGAATTCGAGAGTTAAACAGTGCTTAATCAGATAGTTAATTAGTTATTTAAAAGAGTGAGTTAGCCTGTTAATCATCTAGTTTTGAATTTGACTCATAAAAGAAATTTAACGTGCAAGTGACTGTCTAGTTTTATTTGTGAGTTACGCCTACTCAAAGGCGGTGGAACAGGGAGCATTGGGAACAAGTACCCCCAATTTTTGATCTAGTAGTGAAATACCTTTTTCAATAGGGAATAGACTTGTGTATCATTATCAGGAAAAGTTTCTGTTTCAAGATAGCAAATATGGTACCTCCAATCGTCGGTGTTTAGTTATCATAGTTTATGAATTTTTGTCCTTTTTTATTTGTTTGTAGGTAAGCACAAAGCTACACAATAGGCTATCTATGCTGTGCCATTGGGAAGCATACAGTTCATGAAACTTTCAGTTGAAAAAATAAAACACTTTTCGTTAAGGGGACTGGATATTGCATTATATTTACCGAAAAATCAAATATAATCCGACTAACGATAGAAACCGTTTATAGTTGTTGAAAGGTTAGATTTGGAAAAGAGAAATTACGAAGTTGTTGTTGGAAACGGAATTTTGATCTTTTTAGCACATTCGAAATCCACTTTGAAGATTTTTTTTATTCGCAAATAACCTATCCAATCATTTTCGACACGGGTTTTCAACATTTGACACAAATGTATGTGTGGGGATTCCAGAAATAAAAGAAATGACAATGGAAAAGTATGAAGAAAAATGCAACCTTGATTAAACTTGACATGCTTATAAATTATCATAACTTCATTTTGAAAGTTTAGTTTTGGTCAGTTGCTGGATGCCAAAACCACGTTGATGATGTCATGAATATGAGTAAGTTTTGCCGATTTGGCACATCTATACAGTTCAGTCAACCATAACTTTAATTCCGTGCACTATTTGTTTGTTATATTTACCACTTGGTAGACTATACTGTAGGTAGCAATACCAAAATGTATATTCGATGTTACAGTATTATTATCCTTAATAACTGAAATACAAAAAAATGTTTAAATTGTAACTAAAATCTGTAATGTAAGTTTTTATTTTTCTGTGGAGGTGAAATAAGTAACTTGGGAACCATGGAAAATAAGGGTAAATTTACTGATAATTTTTATTAGATATATATAGGAAATCGTGAGAACAAAAATTGTCTTCCTTAGTATATTTTCTAACAGAATTTGGATTCCAGTATTTGTTTTTAATTATTGCTTTACATGTAACTGGACACATTTTTAATTCGGTAGTTATAAAAATTGGAAATGGAAGGCAGTCGAATAATTTTATACTGAATATAATCTAAAAATCAACATTCGACATCGTTGTTACAGTTTATAATATTCAACTTTCTATCTATCTTTTGAAACAGGTAAGTGTTTTGAATTTTTGAGTTAGAATTTCCCGCCCAAGCGTGGCCTAGTGATTAGTGTATTGAAGTGCGATTCCAATGGTTTCGGGTTCGAGACGGGTTCTATTTGCACTCTTAGGTACGAACGCAATGCAAGAGTAATAGTCAGCCCCGCTATTCCGTTAAAGAGTAGCCGTTGCAGATGGTGGGTGTTTCTTACTTTTCTCTTGTCTGCAATTCAAAATTAAGGACACCTATGCTTAAACAACAGGGGTCTCGTCCCTGGCCATTTAGATCATTGTGTACATAAGATGCCGATTAGGTGATTCAGCAAACAAAGCAAAATATCAATGCTGAATTTTTGAATACACACACACACACACATATATATATATATATGAACTATGTTTTTTACCATTTCCTTTTGTGCAATAAACATATTAATTAATATATATGTAAAATTATTTTCAAGTGCTTCCCAAGCTCCAATGTTTCATATTAATTTAAGTTTGGTACACGTTTGCTTGTCATTTATTTATTTTTTCATCAGTAAAAAAAAAATCAATCAAGAAAAATACATGAGAATAAATACATATTTTTTTTTATACAGGAATTGTTGATAAAAAAATACATTAAAGTTTATGAGTTATACCTAGGCGCCTATGCGGGCTGTGCCTAAAATTGCTGAAGCGTTGTTTTGTTCGAGTGTGTGAGAAGGTTCCAGAAAGGGTGGTGTCATCTTGAATTCGATTCTTAGCAGCTGCGTTTAAATCAATGTTAATCCTAATAATAAATTAATAACCAGATAGTATATAATAAAAATTAGAGATGACTGCGGTTGGACATTTAGCATTTGATGAATATGGAAGACCATTTCTCATTCTTAAAGATCAGGAACGAAAAAAACGCTTGGTCGGTATAGAAGCGTTAAAGGTAGGTTAGGCCTATAAATTTCGCTAGCCACCCGGTACCCGTAATGTTATCAGCAAATATCTCTTTGCCTCACAAATTTATCAATTATTGTTTTCTTGAATTACTCGAGATGAAATTTTAAGTTAAACCAATTTTCAAACAAAATTACCTGCTACTATTTAAGATTATCAGAGGGAGAAACCTTGCTAATGTAATGATGTGTTGTAACTTCAATTTTAAATTTAATATGACTGTAAGTTCAATATTTCAAGATTGAATTTTTATTTTAATATTACACTATCCAGTAATACTGATATAACCGTACTATCATACAAAAGCCCATTTGGCCCTTCAAGATACCCTTTGAAACTTTTATGCCCATCCTTGAGAAAAGTCAAAAATTTGAATTTACCTTTTATTTTTTTTGGACATTATCAAATTATCTGTTACTGTTTGTCTCCAGCAAATTGTTGATCTCTAACTAGAAATATATATAACTGTTATTGTTAACCAGAGCCTAACTTTTTTTCCCCCAAATCTTAAACCTCTGTTGTCATATACTAATTACTGCTGTCTTCAGAATTCAGCACAAATTAATAAAAGTCCTTTATCATATTGATCCTCAGCATAATCTGGTGTTTTAGATTTATCTTGAGAAAAAGTAAGAGGTAACCCTCTGAACCCTGAAATCATCTTACTATCCCTCCTGAGTCGTTTCCAGTAAGTCAGTGTCCTTTGATTAGATCCACTTTCAGGACTGCACTGGTGATGTCGTGTCACTTGTTTGTTTTATTCATGCATTCATTGCATGAAATTCAGTACACACTTTCTACATAACATTTAGTGTATGCTTGAGGAAAAATTATCTAATTTGATTTAGTGCTTTTATCTTATTTTAGGTTGTGAATTTTCATATTGTGTCTAAAATCATCGAAATCTACCCAATAGTTATTTTTTCAATAAAGCTATAATTGTTGTGTCTGTATTATTCTAATAATTGCATACTCAATTTATTGTCTGTTTGTACAAACTGTAATGTACAAAGGAACTATAGAAAAAATATGAAAGAAAGAAAAATATATTTTTTATACTGTTAATTAGAAAGGTACATTTTATATATCCAGCTAGGTTTAACCCGTTTTCATCAGTTATTTACATTTGTTACTTACTGTCTATTGAATCTGCTATGTAGCTGCAAACGTATTATAAAACATTTATGAACAGTAAAATTGTTGATCAGTATAAATGTAGTTTGCACTTTTACTTAGGCCTACCTTGATGTAGACAGTATCTTTTCAACTATATTTTTGGTCGGGCACAATTTCTATATAATTATAGTTTGTTTCAGTAACTAAGATGTTCTTGTATATCTTGTTTGAATAATAATAAATTTACTACTACACACAAATAAATAGCCATTCCTATCATCTTGCTAGTGTGTCATATCGGAACTGCAAGCATACTGTACTCACTAATCGTAGATATTCTTACCTTATGTTTTCTCACATAACAATATTCCTTTAAAGTGCTCCAGATAGTTTTCTTCTGTAAGGAGTAATCACTCCCAGAATTCTGTCAGTAGGAATCATTTTAATTTTTTTACAAAGTGCAGTAGTAACTTAACTAATTATAAATTATTTTGTTATTTCAAAAGGTGAAATTTGGCACAGGATTAATTTAGCAAATTAAATCACCAGATTTAGTCATAATAAATGCAAATAATGACATTACAACTTTTTATTTTACTGTTTAACCAAAAATTGGATCATTCATGAGTGCACCAGTTGAAACATCTAGCAGTTAGAGATTGCTTATTTATGTTGGTCTACTGTGCAGAACGGTAAAATAAGCTACAAGAATGTGCCCATTAATTATTGTTAATGAAGCAGGAACTGTATTCAGTGTTCCACAGCAGTAAAACAACTTATCAATATTTTTTAAGTCCATAAATGGCTGATTTTTAGTTGGGAACTATGCTTGTATGCTGCTTATCTGGAGCACTGCTTTAGTTTTAAAACAGTCTTAATATTACCACAAATATAAATGTCATTAAAAAGAAACTATAAACAAAAAATTCCAGGTTTGTGACTTGTTCCTTAGTTTTAAACTTTCCATTAGAATCCATTACAAATTTCACTCATCACATCATGAGAAATCATAAATTACAATTTTAGTGAGCTTACCCGATGTTACTCTCTTTATAATGACATAGATAGACTAGAATGCTTTTTATCGATTTGTATTTAACCATTGGTTCTATCTTGTTTGGAAGCTAATATTTATTAGTCACTGTTCAACCCACTTGCTTTGGTATCATAATAACCTCTCAAGAGAGAATTCTTGAAACAGGTACTTAAATTAAAGGAATATTACACGACAAACAAAACTATAGATAAATCTACTTGTAAGGGATGCCAGTGTTTGGGTAAATATATACCTATACTTTGGAATGGGTTGCATATGGATGTAGTAAATTTCAAAGTTTAAGGAAGGCTTCATAAATGTTTAAATAATTAGTATAGGAGGTGGGAACAGCTTCAGTGGACCAACAGGCTTCTTTTTGTGATGTTATACAATAAACTTGAAGATGTTTGTACATTCTGGGGTTGCACACAAGTTTTGAAAAACACAAGAATAATCAAGTCTTCTCTGTGTTCTTCAATCAAGTGGCTTCTTCATGAGTGGACAGTATCACTATGGTAATCTTTGATAAACATTTAAAAATTTTTCAATACTAAAACAAAAGGAAGTATTTTAAACAATGCCTCACAACAAAAGTTTGGACATTTCAGGTCATAAAAGGTGATAGAAAAGCTAAATCAAGTTATATTTATTTCTTTAAGTTAAAACTATATAACATTCTTTATTAAGTTGGTTCTATGTTGAATGCAACTTGGTTAAGTATTTCCATTGTCAGAAGGAAGAAGATTGAGGGATCTCAGTGATAGTTCCCTGGAGTAAATAGGGTTAAGACACACCTTCCTATTAGTGCAGACTGTATTTTGCATCCAGTGTGCAACCACTGCATCCTTTTAAACTTCTATATATGTGACCAATATTTTATTTATGGGCATTTGGCACCAGGTGTACATCAGTTATGTATTTTGATTTAATACATGGCTTATTAGTGTAATTTCTCATTATTGTTAAATTTGACAATAAAAAATGCAAAGCAAGGTTTTCCTCACTGAAATGTTTTAAGTGTGTGGATATGATGGACAGAATTGCCTTTTGTCAAAATGGTATTTGTTTTTAAAATATTAAATTTTATACCCTTCTGCTGTCAACCAAACTTGGTTTTAAATTGATTTTCCAAAGATTAATTTATATTTTCTTTTTTCATAGTCACACATACTTGCTGGTCGAAGTGTTGCTAATACTTTACGAACCTCTTTAGGGCCTAAAGGTAAGATGTAAGCTTAAAGTAACATTGATGTTTTATCTAATACACATTTATAGTTCTGCTGAACAGTGATGATAATATGTAAAACCTAAACTGTGTTAGGCCTTGTTTGCATAAATACCTGTCTGAATGGAGAAGGAAAACCACCACAAATATATGTAAATGATTTAAAACCTTACATATATCTATACATGAAACCTTCTGATAAACAATATAAAAGTTTGCTTGCTTATAATTTTATATGTTATTTTTATTGTATATCAATGATCATAAACACAGTGAAACTAAGTGCATTGTTTTCAAATAAAACAAAGAAAAAAAGTTAGTTTTATAAAGTAAGTTTATAGGGAAGTTTTAAAAGAATGTAGGAAGACATAAAAATCAGCAATTAAAACCTACAAAGAAGTTAGGCAGTTTTAAAAATTTTTTAAAACACCACAATAAAATCTTTATGAGATTTCAAATAATTTCATCCGCCCTTTCTCTCTAATGCAATAAAAGGAACCATACAACTGGTGTATTAAATCTCATCACCCAGGTCTGAGGTGTAGGAGGTAAATTAAAAGTTGGGGGGGGGGGGCTCAATGTTTATTTGACTGAGTGAAGAGTGGCAATGTGCGCCACAGGTGCACCCATTGTGGTAAGGTGAGCCCTGGAAGCTCTTGGGTTCGGGGTTAACTTTTATCTACTCTCCTGTTTTTCCTGAGAGTAATTTTCCTAATTTTGATGCATTTTTACTTGGACTGGAAGAGGGATACTTCCTATGCCCCTGCAGGTGTCATACAGTTGATAAACTAGATATTGATTTTTATTGATAGGCCTCTGGTATTACCAAACATGCTATGTGATATTATTTGCCGTTATCATTTATAGTGAAATGTTTTATGTACTGTTTGTGTTAATAAGTAAAATGTGAATTACTTTTGAACACCTTTTAACAATTAGGTTTTTGTTTTTGTTGCTGTAAAAAAATCCTAGTAACATACACTTCTTCTATACTTGTAACTTAAGTATTTACAATCTACAGGAACAGAAATAATTTTGATTATAAATTTTCGGATCATACTAATTTTTTTTTCTAGGTCTAGACAAGATGATGGTATCTCCAGATGGAGATGTGACTGTGACTAATGATGGTGCCACCATTCTGAAGATGATGGATGTTGATCATCAGATTGCAAAGTTAATGGTTCAGCTTTCCCAATCTCAGGATGATGAAATTGGAGATGGTACTACTGGAGTTGTTGGTGAGTGCATAATATTGTTAGACAATGTATAAAAGAATAATAATAATAACAAATAATAATTCAACAATACACCTCTGACCCACTAATTATACCCTTCCCATGTCTCTAAAGCACCATTGACTGCTAGAAACTTAAATGAAACAAATATTAAATGTGAATTAAATGATTAATGAAATACTTTAGTAAAGGTATAAATGATACAGGTTTATTAGTACAGTATAAATGAAAAAGGTTTATTGATTACTGTACATACATTATTATAAGCATTCTGTGTTGTAAAAAATTGAAGAAAAAATCAAAACTAAATATTTGTATCTTGTTAAACTGCATATTCTTGGCAACATTCATGTAAAAACTTCAATCGAGTTGGTCCACTAGTTTGATATTTATAAGAACATTTTCTTGAGAGTGACATACTTACTTAACTCTTTCAATCCAGGCTCAGTCACTGGGACAGATCTCATAACCATTTTGTACATGTTATAGTTTTCATGCTATAACTTTTAGATTACTAAGCGAATGTTAACAAAATATCTCATTTTTTTTATTAAGTCTTAAGGTTTGTAAAGCAATGTTTCTCTCATGCCTTTTATTTTTCTTTTCACATCTTGCCAATCTATCATCCAAAGTAATTTTCGTTTTAAGATTAAAAATACTTTTATGCATCAGAAAATTTTGAAATTTCACATGCGAAATCTTTATAATGTCCGGATAGTTATCAAACATTTCTTAAGAAAAACTTTGTTTTCTCTGTTATTTTCAGTAATAAATCTCTGTACAAGTTCAGTAAATTTGACTTATCTTGCAACCACCATAAAAAAAATTAGAAAATACATATAAAACATAAATTATGCCTCTTTCGTTCTAGAATGAACACAAAATCAAAAATGTTTAGACAAAATAGCTTAAATCTCATAACATTATACATTTATATATATATTTATTATTTTTTATTATATTGACCTTTCAGCCATGCCTGGCTAACAATACAGAAGTTACAGCAATGCGGCTCGTGCACTCGTGTTACCATATCAAGTAACATAAAGGTGACCTTTGGTCTGTACAAAGTAACTTGTCTTGGCTGTGTTTTAGTGGATTAGTATTTTGTAAAATACAGTCATATTTCAATTATTAAACATTGTATATGTATATAGATTATTGCTATTTTGAAACAAGTTAAGTTATTTTTCCTAAAACATGGAACAGTAAATAAAGAAATAAAGCAAACAATTATCTCTTCTAGTTACAACTTTTGTACTTTGTTGCTGCTTGATGTAGTTTGCTAAACCTTTAAAAATTTTGCATGTGGAGGATATGAAACAAAATATATTTTTTGGTTTTATATATATACATTTGAATAACTAAAAAATCATAAATTACTACATCAATACCATAGAATTCTACTATAATTTATCGAACTTAGTAATTAAGCTGTATTTGAGTATAAAAAATATGAAATTTCAAGCAGACTAAAGACACAACCTATCTCATTGAAATCTTGGTTGAAAAGAAAAAAATGGTGCTAGGTATGTTAGAAATGCTGAGAAAACCACTAGGGGACATTCTGAGCTTCTTATTGGTTATTCATGTCATATATAGAAGTAAGTGTATATGAGGAAGCGTTTCCAAAGGTGGAAGGAGGTGAGTGGGGCACCACAATGTTTGATTTATTATGTGATCAATATCTTAGCAAATAGAAAAGATAAGACCTTTTTATTTTATATTCTAGCTTGTTAATTTCTGTAATTTGAGTTTCTAATTCGTATAAAACTATAGACTTGGTATTTTGACTTCACAAACATCTAATTTGAACCAGTGCTACATTCAACATATCATGCGACATACGAAAATCAATGTTTATCTGTGTTTTTTTTTAATATTTACTTTTAAATTAACAACTTGACTGATAATAGTTCTAAAATTGAATTATAATCTACAGTTTGATACCAAACTTATTGACATAAATTTATGAAATAGTAGTTCAATAAAATTTTGAATGCGAGTCAACAAATCAGATGACATGACCTTTCACCCGTGACACGTCTCTAAAGGGTGTAAATGTAAGTAGCCTGTCCTAAAAGAATGTGCGCCACATGCAGTGCCATCTGTGGCTGCCCAGTGAACTTGTCTGACGGTCACAGTAATTTCAAGTGCGATCTCGTAATTTTGTCTGGATTAAAGGAGGTGCTGGAAAATCAGTGGTGCACTGTATGAGAAGTAAAGAACAAGAACCTATCAGGCATTTTGGTTGAAATATTTAGTTGCTAGACATTCTTAAGTGTGCTCTGCATCTACAGTTCCATTTGTCAAACTACGACTAATTTTCAGAACAAATCTGGAAGAATTAATACATTAACAGTTTAATATTGATTTTCATAATTTTGTAAGAATATTTTTTAACATCAATGTTTGTGTGATTTCATCTACCACTACTGGGTGAACATAACCTTCACCTGTTATTGCCTAAAGATTATATAAGTACTGTAATAGTAATTTGTTCCCCTTAACCCCAGACTTTATGTTGATAGATAGTGACATTTACTCAGTGATAACGAACTGTGTGTGAAGTATCTGAATTCAAGTTGTCTTGGGTCTGAAATTGTTCGTGATTGTGCATTGAAGAAATTTCCGTACACTCATCTGTCTTAATACAGACACGGTTCTCTGAATCAGCTGTATTACTATATAGCATCGGGGTTGTGTCAGGAGGCAATTTTGCCTTTGTCATCTCGAACAACTATATATTCTATACACATGACCACAGGTGACAATTAAACAGTAAAATTTTGTAACCATATCACATTGTTGCCCTGAATTTTAAACCCCAGATATGTATAAAACTAAATTTTTGAGAAAAACATGCCTTAATTCTATCTGCAGCAGAAAATCATAATATATCACAGAAATGAAATATGCCATCCTATTAGTAGTACACAAGCAGTTAAATATAATTTGATTATTAATGAATGTAATATTTTATTATTTTTTACTTTAAATATCAGGACAGCTCTGTATGTACTTTAAACACTTGCAAAGTTAGCAGAAAACTGCATCTCTGTGCTTGGTTTCAGTTGCTCTTAATTTCCTCTTCCTCCTGCTTGTTATAAAAAAATACTGAATTATTAGTTTTATATAAATACTAGTTTTTTTTCATGTTAAGCTGTAAAAAATGACATTTTCACTTGTTATCACCTGTTTCCATGATCCATCTTTCATGCTGTTCATTTTATTATTTATATTTTTCAGGTAGTTTTTTATTGGTCCTTTATAGATGGAGTAAGTGACTGACAAAACTTTCTTGACACAATTACTACAGACTTCGACAATGTTGTGAAAGTAATTTTGAAATTTAACACACGCATATATTAATTATATTTTTTTTTATATTTCTTAATTCTTTGTAATATGGACAGTGAGCAAAAGGTTGGACTATACAATTAATAATTGTATTTTACACATTTTATTAACCAAAAGTAGTAAAATAATTTTATACCTAAAATTGTTCAAAATATAACACTTAACCAAATCACCGGGGAACTATTTAAACCAAATGTTCGCAAACTGTTGGTTGTGGGGGCTCCAAAGGAGTTGAACAGATGCAACAAATGTCTGAAGTAGTTATCTGTAGATATTGATATTCAAAGAAAGAAGATTCATCTCAACCTCTTTGCTGTTTCTTTATGCTAGAGACAGATATCTTAAATTTTTGGGTAAAGCTACAAAAAAAGCTCTCTGGGCTTAACCATCCCTGATTTTATACTCGTAGACTAAAGAGGAGAAAACTAGTCAACAACACCTATCACTGGCCTCCCAGGAATCCTGTTAAAGCCTATTTTTTGTGAAAATTAATTATTTAAAAAAAAAGATTATATTTTTCAACCAACCTGAACCACATGTGCATGTGTTATATTTTCATAGAAATATGTTGAAAGCAGGACAAATAGTTAACAAAACCTTTATAAGAAAAGCCTAATGAAATGGTTAGTATTCTGTAGAAAAACATAAGAAACCTATTTTGGTTCTTGAACTATTGTGATTTTATAAGTGGTTTGAAAATGTGTTTTGTCAAAGAAATCTACTTTTCTGGCCAATCAGCCTATAAAGAATTTACTATGAGGCCTTCCATCACTAACTGATGGCCTACTGTTGTTTGACCACATGTGGAGTTTGACCATAATTTAACTTTCTTCTGGAGCCACAAACTAAAACTTGTTGAAACTGGTATAACTCCACACAGAAGAGTTTTATCATGCTTCTCAAGTTTTATACAATCAGTAAGGATAGACCAAATTCAGATTTGAAATTAGTTATTATCTTTAAACAAGAGTTTCTAACGATAAAAAGTATAAAGCCTGGTTTTTATAGTCTGTCGTTAAGAGTTAGTTTTTTTCTCCATTGAAGCTTATTAGTATTTTAAATAAACCTAAATTTGAATTACAAGTGAATTTACAGTACATGACAAAATAAATGTCAGTGCTGCTGGAATTTAAAACCAGTGTATTAGTTATATATAATATTTGGTTCTACCTTATTGCCATCAACCATGTTACACTGTTACTCTAGAACTGCATGTGGCAATCTTAGTAATGGTTGCTCTTCAAGAAATTTTTTGGTCATTTGCTAATAAATATTGGAGCTTAGATACTAAGTATTGTGAGTTTTATGCAGTATGTTAAGGCTATCTGAGCTAATCAATGCTACTAAGAAAATATATTTAATTTTAGAATGAAGAATTGATTGAGTCATTTAAAACATACATTTATAACCATATAAAAAAAATCATTCTGTATGTTGTAAACACATTTTTTATTAGCATTTAGCTGCTTTATAAATATTCTTTATTGTTCAACATTTAATGCTGTTTCTGCACCACCTCACCATATTTGTTATCTTACATCGGCTTTAATCCAATGGCAAAATTTTCTTCTTTTAAGACAAAGTTGATTAAATAATGTTTTAACATAGATGTAACTTTTTTCTACTGGGCACTGGTTTAAGTAAATAATGTTTGTTATACTTGGATATCTTTGTACTTTGATTCATCTTTTGCAATTCATGTAAAAACAAAGATGCCATTCAAATATGTTGCAAGTGCATATATTCATAGAATATGTTACAATGGAGAGGGTTGAGTATGTTATATTAATATGATGATTTTGAATATGCAAGTCAGCATGTCATCTAAGTTACAACCAGTATAAAGTCATGGTGGAATGGTATGTATCAGAACTACATTTTGACATTTGATGTGTTGTAGGTAGTATTATGCCATTGAAAATTGATTGCTTGTGGTAAAGGTGTACGATAGTCTTTTCCAGCATAAGATATTCATACACTTGTATAGAGACGTTTTCACTAGAGCTATTGTGAAAAAGAGGCCTCCAACACCTCATGAAACAGCTGTGGTAAGTGCATCATCGTTAACATGTGAAAATGTATGAACAAAAGCAATCTACATGCTCTAGACAAAAAATATGTAAGATAATCAAGAAAGATTTCCATCTGGAAATGAGGCTAGCAGAGTATGGGTAAACTATGATAAAGCTTCCATTTCATCCATCACATCCTTCAAGCAGCATGCCGGTCAAATAGCGAAATGTAGTGCATATGGATTTTTGTTTGTGAACAGACTTCTTAAACATTACTTGGAATTTATTGTGTTCATACAGTAAATGAATGATGGAAAGTATGCAGGTAGAAATGGTGTGCTTTAGACATGACAGTGATAAGATGAAGCCTTTTGCAATGGAAACTGTGGTGTAGTTATAGGCAAGATTTATAGTCTTAGATTCTCTAACTGTATATGACTGATCCTTTATTGCTGGAAAGAAGTGAAAGTTAACTTATTTTCTTTACATACATGAAAACAATGCAGTGGGATATTTTCATCAGGAATGAAAAATGTTGAATTGTTGTGCAGGTACTGCATTATTACTTTGATAAAAATCCAAATGATGATTAAACTGTTTTGTTGCTTTTTTTTGTGAATTATTATGAAGTGTTTTAGCCAAGGCATTACATACATTTTCCCATAAACAGTTTTGGCTGGGGCACTACTTGAACAAGCAGAGCAACTGTTAGACAGAGGGATTCATCCAATAAGGATTGCTGATGGCTTTGAAATGGCAGCTCATTATGCTATGGATCATCTGGAGAAAATAACTGATAGTTTTCCTGTGGAGAAAAACAACTTGGAACCTCTGGTGCAAACTGCAATGACATCTTTAGGATCGAAAATGTGAGTAAAATGATTGAAGAAATTACTTTTTTTTTTAATAATCTTTGAAATAACCTTGTTTAGGTTATGTCTCAGCTTTTATCCTTTGTGTTTACTATTTAATGTGATTGATAATGAGTTTTGAGCTTCTGAAAAGATAGAGAATATGGTTGTTACAGTTTTACCTGTAGTGCTTGTGTCTAACGTATGTTAATTCTCTGTTCGATTCTACCTGTATGTTAATTTCTGTAGTTATAGTGAAAGAAGCAGATAAATTATAATTGCACTGTTTTCTAAAGAAAAATTGCAGTTATACATTTTATGGTTGTAAAAGTAAGGATAAGTTTGATTCTGTTTTAAAGATGTTTTAGTGTATTATCTAGTCTGTTTTTGTTTTTAACCTGGAACACTGGTGCTATGATAGTTTATGGGAATATTTATTTTGTTCAAGTATCATACAAAAACAATACATTCAGTAGTTTACTTTTATACATAAACAAATGTGTGTGCATGTTTTATTTTCAGAGTTAATAGATTTCTGCGTCAGTTTGCCGAAATAGCTGTCAATGCTGTGATGTCGGTGGCAGATCTTGAGCGTAAAGATGTCGACTTTGAATTGATTAAGGTCGAAGGCAAAGAAGGGGGAAGACTGGAAGACACTATGCTAGTTAAAGGTGTTGTTGTGGATAAAGACTTCAGCCATCCACAGATGCCAAAGGTGAGATCAGTGACTTGTTAAATAACATAATAAATTAAGGGTTTTTAAATGGATATGCGTGAAGAACTGTTATTCATATGGTATGGTATTTGTTAAGAACTGGTTTATTTGGATTGTAATGATTATTTAGATTCCAACTCTGTTGTATTATTATTAATTTTTTTATTATTATAAAATATGTTACTAGTCACTAAATCTTGTGAAAAACGTGTGATTGTTTTACATTAGGTGACTTTCTTTTCACTTTTTCTAAGTTAACCCAACCAAGACAGGTCTTCCTATGGTCACTGTCCAAGGCCATGCCATTGCATTTTTAGACTTCATTCAAAATTATACTGAACTACTATTTTATGAATGTATGTCAATAAGTTTGGTATCAAATTGTATATTATAATTCAAATTTTAGTATTATGCATTAGGTAATTTCTTAATTTAAGAGTAAAAAAAATCCTAAATATCGATTTTTTTTTTTTTTTAATGTGTCACATGGGATGCTGAATGCAACATTTGCTCAGAATAGATATTTGTGATGTCCAAATACGAAGTCTACAGTTCCTTATGAATTAGAAAATCCAATCGCTGATATTGACAAGCTACAATATAAAATAAGGACCTCCTATCTTTTCTATTTGCTGAGATATTGCTCTGTTTAGTGAATCAAACACAGTGGCCCCACCCGTCTTATTCCATTTTTGGAATTAGTTACTTACATACACCTTCTTCTGTTTATGATGTGTAAATAACCAATTGAAAGCTCAGAATATCCCCATATGGTTTTCTGAGCATATACGAAGTATTTACTCGGGAAACCCTTTCTTTTCGTGATAGATTCCAAGTGGTAAGGTAAGAGGTTATTGATCTTGAAAAATCATATTTTTTTAGATTAGACTCAAATACAGCTTAGTTACTAAGCATGGTAAATTATAATGGAATTGATATAGTTATGATTTTTTGTTATTTCAAAATGCATATATAAAACCTAAAAATTATTTAGTTTTATGTTCTCCACATGCAAAATATGATAAGGGTTAGCAAATTAAGGCATACAACATACGAATTCAAAGCTTGTAACTAGAAGAGATAATTGTTTTCTATACTTTATTTACTGTTCAATGTTTTAAGAAAAATAACTGAAATTTAAGAAGTTATTTGTAAATAGTAATAATGCATTTACATATAATGTATTTTAACCAAAATGTGACTCTATATTACAAAATACTGGTCCAATAGAAGACAGGTCACTTTATAAAGGCCAGTCTTATACTATTGGATATGGTAACCTGAGTGCATGCGTGCCATGTCATTCAACTTCTGTAATGTTAGTCAGATACTGCTGAAAGGTCAGTAAAATAAAAATAATAAATTTTTATATATGTATAATGTTATGAAATCTAAGTGATTTAGACTAAATATATGTGGTTTCGTGTGATAATGTGTAGTAATTCTAGAACAACAAAAAAGCATAACTTGTGTTTATTTCCTATTTTTTATGGTGGTTACGAGGTCAGTCGATTTTGACCAAACCCATACGGTGATACTATAGCAAAAATAACAGTTAAAATATTAGTTGTTTTTTTTAAAAAAAAACTTTGATAATTATCTGGAGGATATGAGGAGGTTATAGAAATTTTGCATGTAAAATATGACAATTTTCTGATGCATGAAAGTATTTTTAATTTTAAATCAAAATTACTTTGTATGTTGGATAACCAACATTTGAAATTGAAAAATCTGATTCTTTGTGTACCAATGCCTTGTAATATTTACTGATAGTCTGCAAAATTTTGTGAAGATACATGTACATTTTAAAAAATTACATTGTGGTTACTTTTGGGGAATATGGGCTGAGTGGAATCCACCCACCCATAGTAGAAGGGTTAACCTGTTCTATAATTTATATAAATAACAAATCCCATAGTAAGTTAAATCAGTAAACATTTAAAATGCCAATACATGAATATGAAAACAAGCGAAAGACAAATTAACGTTTCATTTATTTGTCTTCACTAGGTGTGGAGCTGCTTTACAATTGGTCCACCTAAGTGGTTATAATTTCAAATGTTATTGTCTATAACACATGCTTATATTGTACATGGTAATAACAGTAAACTTGTTGAAATGTCATATCCTTTTCTTTTGTTTCATATTCTCATATAGCCATTTGAAAAGTGTGATAGTTCAGTTACTACAGTAATGGGTTACATGTACATACTCTATGCAATATTTAAAATAAACAATTGAAAGGTATCACTTGGGGCTGGTAGGTTTTCAATTCAGTGTTGCTGTGAGAATAACTGCTATTACTACAAAAAGATGAAGCAGTATTTTTCTAAACTGGATTTCTTGTTTTCGATCATGTGTTGTTTTTAGTTAATAATTTAGTAGGGACTCCTTTAAAACCAGATGCAGCAGAACTGATGTGTACCATTAGTATTCATTAGTTCTTTAAAGGGAAAAGTTTGAGAAATCTTCATTTTAAACAACTCAGCTGAAAAATATCAACAATATTATGATTTGTTACACTCATTCAGAAATTGTAAGGATTATTTTCACCAACTATTAGGTGGAAAATGTATTTTATAGGCACTATTATTAGAATGTATTAATGATTTCTAAATAACTATTTTGTTGTTCAATTGAGAACCATAAATGTTTCATATTATGCCTTACTGCTGTTGTATTGCCAATGCAGCAAGAAATTGTAGTTTCAAAAAATAAAACTTTAAATTTTGCACTAGTTTCCCTATAGCCACAGGTATCCTTTACTGAGCATCTTTATGTTATACCAATTAGTATAGCATAAAATCTTAGCTAATAATCCATATTTTAATAGTATGTAGGTTTTAAGTTCTTAATTCTACATGGCAATATTTAAAAAAATCCTGAATTTCCTCTATTGTGACACACTTGGCACATTTTCTCTAGGTATCTTCTCTATTTTATCCACCACACCTCCAGTAACTATGAAATTAAATGTAGATTATTTGCTATAAAATCATCATTGTTTAGACAAACCATAATTTTTATAGCCATCGGTTTTGTTTGGTTACAGAGCTATCAAATAGAAAATCAGACCCCTCCTGCCACACACCCACCTGTCACATCCTCTCTTTCAGGATTTTAATAGTTCTCTCTTACGTTTAATTGTATATTATTTATAACCAGTAGAAAGCCAAGGTTTTCATCTACCAAATGACGTATTATATTTCATTGTGTTTTGATCAGATAATCGTCAATTTCACTTGTAGTACAGCCTTTGTTCCCATGGGAAAGGTAACAACTAGTTTGGATAAATTTGAAACGGCTCTTGTTGCATAGTTAGAAAGCCAGAAAAATTGTGATTGTTAGAGGAAACTATCTGCTATTTTGTATGTTGTTATTCTATGTTCTTTGGTGCATTATTTGATACACTACCACCATTAGTATAAAAACAGTAGGGCGAAGTGTCATCAATAGTTGACAGCAAAAATAATAATATTTGGGTGAAGTACTTTATTTCTTTTTATTCTTTATTATTATAAAAGTAACTAATGTAAAAAAGGAGAACTCTTTAGGTTAGTCAAGGTTAGATTAGGTAAAATAAATAATAATAAAAATATTTCACGAGGCACATGTGAGCAAATCAGAGTAGCTTGTGGGTAAGGTAATTTGGTAGCTTAACATGAGCTGTATGTTCCCCAAGTGATTTACAATTTATAATAGTACTTAGAACCAGAGTAATCAAAAGGGTAATAAAACAATAAAATTTAATTATAAATAGATGAATATTGTTATGAGTTTAAAGCTACTTAGGATAAACAAATGTAGTTTCATGTTGCATTTGAAGTCATTCTAGAAAGAAAAGGGGGTAATTTAGATTTTTTGGTGGTTACGAGGTCTATCAAATTGACCAACTGCATATAGAGTTAGAGTAGAGAAAATAACAGATAAGTTATAAAGTTCTACTGAAAACAAGAATTTGAAATGTACTTTGGAGGTTTTGGAGATTGCACAAATGAAATTTGAGGCTTTTGAGATCAAGAAAAGTATTTTAAATATTAACATGAAAATCACTTGACACTGACTATTCAAAACAAATATTTGATATATTCGTGGACAGATCTTTATTTTAGTTTATTAAAAATACTTCACTAAAAATGATTTTTTGTATGTGAAAGACAATGTTTGCTAAAAGACTGCCATATTTAATGAAGATATACGCACTATATTAAAAGTTGGTTGTATCAAATCTATAAAGACTGAAGGAGTACAAAGAGGCCATGTGGTCAGTCAAATTGACAGAGCCCATGTTGAGAGAGTTAATAAAATCTTGATTATAGTGGATTTGTTAAACTCGGATATCTTTCTTTCAAAGACCATTTTGTTAGCAAACAAATAATAATAATCTGAAGTGATCTGGTTGTTCAAAGTACTTATAAGAAGTATAATATATTGTCAGTTTTAAAATACATAATAAATATAGTAAGAATTATTTTTCATGCTTCATTAAATCCTATTAAATCACAATATACAATCACTGCCACTTTGGCAAAGCATGATGTCAAACTTTCTAAGATTCAACTGGTTTCCTCACCTAAATTTAAGCAATATAAATTTATTGTTTCTACAGAATAATTTTATGTTCAAAGTGTTAATTTGCAGACTCTTATTCAAATTTTTTTCCCCTATTTTCCATCATGTCTAATGACATATTTTGCTCAGATATAAATTTAATTCTGCTATAAACTTGATACGCATAGTTGAATTCCTGCCAAGGTTGTCAGTACTTACGTAGGTCAGACACTATGCTATAACAACTTTGACTTAGAAATATATGTTTGTAGACTCAAGCATTTAGTTTACACATCTGGAGTCAATACAAATTAATTATAACAGTATGTAACATGCTTAATTTACTTTCAGTTTTGCTTTCTTATATAAATTAACCTTTGTGTAGGATTTGTGTGGTGTTATTTTTTAAATCTTTTAATAGTCTACATGTCTTAATCTTCGTTAGTTCG